GGCTCCGGCCCTGGGCCCGGGGGACGCCGGGCCTCCCGCCCCGCCTGGGCGCTGGTGGGCGCGGGTCGGGCTCGGCCTGCCCTGGGGCACCGCCGTGGGCGCTGCGGGCGCGGGTCTGGGGCTGGCCCGCCGGCTGCTGCTGGCTCACTCCCTAAAGCGCTGCCTGGAGCCCCTCGCCTCCACAGCGCCAGCCAGCGAGGGGTGAGACAGCGGGGCTCCCTTCCCCTCTCTGCCCAAGAACAACAGACCTTGCTTCCCCGCCTCCCCCCAAGCAGATTTTTCTTGAGGGTTTCTCACATTCTCTTAGATGAAATGAAGTGCCTATTTATTTAATAAACAGCGTGCTGTAAGGCAGGGTCAACACTCTGTATTGCGCTTACTTTCACATACTGTGCACTACTTCTAGCAAAAATGAGCTTGCCTTTTAATAAGGGAGCCTACAGGAGAACCGGAGAGGGACTCTTTGTCAGGAAGTGTAGTGAAAGGACCAAGGGGCAATGGTTTTAAATTGGACGAGGGGAGATTTAGATTAGATATTAGGAAGAAATTCTTTCCTGTGAGGGTGGTGAGACACTGGAACAGGTTGCCCAGGGAAGTTGTGGATGCCCCATCCCTGGAAGTGTTGAAGGCCAGGCTGGATGGGGCTTTGAGCAACCTGGTCTGGTGGAGGTGTCACTGCCCATGGCAGGGGGGTTGGAACTCAATGATCTTTAAGGTCCCTTCCAACTCTAACCATTCTGTGATTCTATGATAATGAAAGATGACTTACACAAAAATTACCATTTTAATATATGTGTGCTTTTTCTGAATACTCGGAAATTATTACTTTTTTTTTTTTCATTCCATAGGGTTTTCCCAGTAGAAAACCAGAAAAAATGATTGATATTAAGGCTTGGGCTGAATACATCGTGGAGTGGGCTGCAAAGGACCCCTATGGCTTTCTCACGACAGTAATTTTGGCCCTGACACCACTGTTTGTAATCAGTGCAGCGCTTTCATGGAAGCTGGCAAAAATGATTGAGGCCAGAGAGCGAGAGCAAAAGAAGAAGCAGAAACGCCAAGAGAATATTGCAAAAGCCAAACGAACAAAGAAGGATTAAATGGGCAAAAAAAGAAAAAGGTCTTCCCTGTGCAAAAAATTCACTTCTTAAATTAAACACTTGTCCATTTTGTCTTGTATCTGTCCTTTGATACTTGATGTTATTTCTTGAAGTATGAAATGTAATCCCTTCAGTGTATGTATTCTGCTGAGATGATTTGTGTTAAAGTTTGCCCAAGTGATGCTTACTATAGTCACCTCATCATCTACTTGTGTTCTAGTGCAGGTTTCTTTTCTAAATTTGCATGCTGAAGTAAAAAATTAATCTGTTGGGTGGTTCTGGAGGTAGATTATTTTTTTTTCCCTTAGCTGAGCTATGACTTAACAAGTGTCTTTAAATTTTCAAATTATGCAAATGTTAAACTGGACTCCAGAAAGACAAGTTTTGGCATACCTTCAGCAGAGCTGTGGAGATAAGCTGTCTTCAGAGCTAGGCAGCATCCCTCAGATTTCCTCCAGGGCCTGCAGTTCATTCAGCTGCGTGCCCATAGGGGCTTGCTGTAGTGTCTGTGATCACAGAATCACCTAGGTTGGAAGGGACCTTTAAGAACATCTAGTCCAACCATCAACCTAGCTCTGACCAGAAAAAAAAAAAAGAGGACCTGAATTAGCTTTTCCTGTTTCCTGAACTACCGGCCATCAGCAGTTTTTTAATTCGGTCCAAACTAAAGGAAAATGCTTGTTCTTACAACCTTCATTTGTCTTGAGCCAGTCAGTGTTCTACAAAATACAGTACTATGTTGTTTGGTTTTCCCTAATGATCACCTGAATACTCCATCTGTAACTAATTTGTTTCTGCCTTCAGAAACTTCTTATGCCTCAAAGAATAGCCATAAATGGGGTGAGACCAAAGGCCCAGGTGGCCTAGTGTGCTGTGTCCTAGTGACCTATAGTGGGTGGCCGTGGGGGAGTACAGGAGGATGCGCGTGCTGATGACAGTAGTTCCTGTTACTTGCTAACCTTCTGGCTACCTATGATTTAGGACCTTCTGATCTTTGTTCTAATTTTGGGGATATTTGTTCTCATGGCTTTTCAAACTCTGCTGCCTTCCAGGTTGCAAAATGCTGGCACACTGGAAAAAGTTCATGTGTGTTGTAAATAGGCCAAAATTATTTAACCTTAATTCCAATTCATGTTTTTCTAACAGAAGTGATTAATTTTTCAAAGTCTAATTTTTATCAATAGTCTAGTTCTAAAGAGTTTGTAGTTTTAATGCTGACAAGCATTAGGTTTTCAGACAGCACGTTTCTCAACAGCACGGATTTGTGCTTTCTAGCAACAAGTCCTTCATTATGTTTAAAAATAAAACTGTCAAATAATAGCAGATGAGGAGACCTATAGAGCTGGTTGACACAAAGGGGGATTCTAAGAGTGGGGACTCTTACGTGAAATGACTTAAAGTAAATGTGAAGTATTGTTGATCATCTTTTCAGTTTTGTTAATCAAAGCAAGCATTACTAGAATATGACATTTTGGCATTTTATAAATACATGGGATTAAGTCTCCTCTGTTTTGTCTTAGGCGTTGTCAAATGTGTATGTGTTCCACCTTTGATACCTACATAACTTAAAACACGCGGAGAACTGATAAAGGATCCACGGCATAAATAAATTTGATACTTTTTTCAGAAAACTGCAGTCTTTATTTTGACATCATCTCTAAGCAAATAATCTGCACATTTTATGTATCTAAACTATGGTCAAATACATGTAATAATTTAGGGAATTCTCCACATACACCAAAGATAAAACCTAATTATTTTAACACTAATGACAGTCCCTTGTTCCAAACTCTGTGTTATTTTCCAGCAGCTTTACCAAGTGCTTCCAACCTCTGTTTCAGTAGTTAAACATAGTTTAACTCAGCCTGATTTTATCCTGCGCTCACTGTTGGCTGCAAGTCAAACATTACTCAAAGATGTTGTTATCTTAAGTTACAGTAATGTGTCTTAAGATTAATAGAGTGTGTAGTCACAGTGTAGTGCCATAGTGATTCCTGTTAATAAATGAACTTTTCCATCCCCATGACAGAGGAATGCACACCGGCACTGTGTGGTGTAACTGGGAATTAAGCATTCTGAAGAACTATCTTAAACTGACTCCTAGGCTTTGGAAAATTTAATTGAACTGCTTAATTAAAAATTATTACATCAAAAACAATTTTAAAAACAAATGAGTCCTCAAGGAAAAAATTATTTTAAGAAAATTCAGTTAACTAGAAAGCCTACCTCTGATTGCACAAGTAACTGAGGAACAGCAACTGTAGTAAGCAAACTTAACGCATCCTGTTTTTCACCAAGCCCAAACATTTTACAGTAGTTTGTTGTGATTAAGCCTACTTGAACAGCTCTGCAAAAATACGTGATGCGGCTTTAATGTTACTTTATTGCACACTCACATCTAACAGCTGTTGATGTCCACTGAAATATTTACCCATTTTAGCTGTATCTGTACATGACAATGGTTCACTTATTCTGGCTACTACCGCTGCCTGGTGGCATCCAGGAGCCCGGCTGGAAGGTGCTGGCGGTGCTGGTTGGGTCTTGTGAAGGCTCCTTCTTTCCATAGTAAGGGGCTGACGCGTGGCCTTTAACCTGGGTGTGAGCCGGCTCAGCAACAAGTCCCTCCTTGTACGCCTTGGCCTGAAGCAGTTTGTCCTTTTCGGATACATCTTTGATTTTCTGTTTCATTTCTTCTCTGTAATTTTCATTCTTAAGAATCTCCTAAGAACGCAGGAGAAAGATAATGAGATAAAGCGGAAGCAACTGCAATACACAATGTTGGAATAAAACATTTTAATCAGTCATTGCTCTTCTTTATTTTATAATCCAAATTTTCAGGTATGTAAGCAATAAAATGTGGCAAAATTAATTGTTTTTCTACAACTGCAATTTCAGCCCTAGTCTAAAGGTTTCTTAACGTTTTGATTGTGCTGAAGCAAAACTGCACTGTGGTGTCCCAGTTTCACTATTCTGTTGCATCAAAAAGGAAAAGAAATTAAATAACAGTACCAACAAATGTGAAAATGCATTACAAATAAGGCTGCCTTTTACACGGTTTTCTGTGTAGGCCTTGCTACTATACAGCTATTTATCACTTGCATTTCCTCCTGTAACTCACTGCGCCTGTGACTTCAGGGATCTCTGCCCCAGGGTGCAGTTTGAGGAGAAACAGATGTGCAACCTTGACTCCACTAGTACATAGCCCGGAGCCATACAAAATTAACAAATAAATAAAATAACAACTGGAAAAAGCCAGGAGAGAAATGAGACTGCTGAGCCGGTACTAGTAATTCAGGAGAAAAAAAAAAAAAAAAAAACAAAAAACCCAAACACCCAACTCTTTTGCAGATGCAAGCTGTTATTTAATCAATGAAAAAAGAAATAAGGGAAAGGCCAAGTAAACACTGAAGGATATGAAGGGAACACTTCCCTAAAACGGTATCAAGATTCAAAAAAAAAAAAAAAAAACACAGGGAGGGTTTGGGGACAAGCACAACAACCACTGAGGGGAACGCTGCCCCAGGGACTCAGAAGACAGCATGGTCCAAGTGGCAAAGGAGGGCAACGCACCCTCTGCTGAGGCCAGCAAAGGGGACCTGGGTATTGTGATGAGAACACAACACAAGACCACTCAGGCCAGCTGTATGTTTACTCTAGGTGTCTACCAGGTGTGTTAGCTAGAATAAGCATACTGCATTCATAAAGGGTGTAAAATTTTACCTACTGCCTCTGCACAGGTAAAAAAAAGTCAAATAAAAGTGATTTAGTTGTAGAGGTTTGCCTCCACCCTGACAAGCTGAAACAACTATCTGATGCAAGGTCCTACTGCGAGGCCAAAAAACCCACCCAGGACATGTATGCAGAGAAGGCTCATACACCTTGCTGATTCAGCTTCGTGAAGCTCTGCATGAAACATGGTTGGGTACAGATTAAAGCTGGAAATTCACTAATGAAGATGACTTGAACTGGGAATTGGTTGCTTCCACTTGAGAAATGCTGAGGCTATTAGATGAAACAAGTGCAATTACTGGCTTGTGCACAGGTATAATAGAAAAACAGCTGTTAGCAGACCTTGCCATTATGTTCAGAAGAAAACACAAAGAACTCCCAACATAAACACAAAGGAAAAAGCCCTGAAAAATACTATAGCCTCAGCTTTATGTGTTAGCATGTGTTTCCTATTAGAAGGGCGCTTTGCAATTTCTGCTAACAAGACTTCTCTGTGCTTTTGTTAGGGCAGATAGTGGAGAGTATGAGAAACAAAAGCAGAAAGAATCACAGAATCATCATGGTTGGAAAAAACCTCTGAGATCGAGTCCAACCATACACACACAAAAAAACCCCCTACAATCTCAGCCACCAGAGCATGCCCTGAAGTGCCACATCTACATGTTTCTTAAATACCTCCAGGGATGGCAACCCAACCACCTCCCTGGGCAGGCTGTTCCAGTGCCTGAGCACTCTCTCAGTAAAGTAATTCTTCCTAATATCTAATCTAAACCTCCCTTGCCGCAACTTCAGACCATTTCCTCTGGTCCTGTCGTTATTCACTTGGGAGAAGAGGCCAAAGGTGACACACATTTTTATGACACTTTGAACCCAAACACAACCACAACCAACTCCATGTAAGAAGGAAGCTGCTAATATCCCCATTTAGACTGGGATACAGGAGGAAAAGGGCTGAACAGTTTTCTCTGGATTACATGTATATGGAAGACACAAGGAGAAACTAGACCAGAACACCTCTGAGTAGAAGACTGTGACATTATTTTAGGAACAGCATTCAAATATATGTGATACTGCTAAGAGTTGACATAGCAAGTATGTGAAAATTTAAGAAAAATTAAAAAGGCAGTATTTAAAGAAAACCTTATCTTAGCAATATCATGAAAACTAGTACCTTTCTCTGCATCCTATACTAAAATTCACAGATGCACAGAGCAGAGGCAAAACACTTCACATACCCATACAGCATGAAAACACACAAGCAGCACATAAAGGACTTTGCAAACGTAAGAGGGGGAAGGGAGAAGGAGAAAATTCTCCCCTACTCAAAAAAAAATATTACCAAGTGTAACAAGGTCAAATTTTCAACAGCCAATATAGCCAAACCTCATTATAACATCTCTCAATTCCGTCCTTGTTTACCACATGCCTGTATAAATCTACCGTGACCTTACTGATTTCAAGGGGATTACTCCTACGGTGCTTATATTACCCCACTAAGAAACAAGGTCATATACCTTTGTGATATCTGGGGACTGCATCATAGTCTCTGCTAAAACAGCATGAAATGATTTATTAAAATACGAATGTAATTCACTTACTGTGAACAGCTACTTACTAACTTTAAACCTTTTTCAGTGATTACTTTAACTAAGTTATCTTAGGTAATAGAAGGTATAACTAAATTCCAAGTGCTCCAAGTTCCTTTCAAATGCTGATGTATAATTGTCATCTGGGTTTCCGTCTCGATAAGGCTCTTTTAATCAGCTTTAAAGGGCCAAAGCATACTCTTGATCTAGTAAAAGAACCATGTTGATCTTGAAAAAAGCACAAGGAATGATCCTCACTAGCAAACACAGGAAAAAAAAAAATACTGAAGTGACTTGTTCAGAATCTTCTATACAGTGCATACCAGGACAAAATGTTTTCAAGTTCAAAGTTTCTGTAAGCATTCATTTTATGCATTACATTCATGCCACTAACGTGTACACTGAAATCAGGGTTCCTATGCTCAAACTAAAGAAAATGTGGATTGGGAATCTCGTGTCAATTGGCATGTTAGAAAAACTGGGTCAAATAGATGAGTTTTCTTAGCATAAACATCTTGTCCTTTGATACTGGCAAGTTTGTTCTGTGGAATTCTCTCACAGACACTGAGTCCTTCTTGTTTCTAATATTATCACCAGCAAATACTTCATTCTCAATTCTCTCTCACTAGAACATACATTTTTTTTTTTTTAAAACATTGTGACTGTATTTCTAAATACTACCATTCAATTACCATACCCACTGCAGTTTGAAGCAGTTATGAGACTGAAGTTTCCCTGCCATTACAGGCATTTAAACTAAAGATCCAAGTAGTTCCAAATTTGAATAGGATAATCAACTTTCTTCAAAATGCAAATTTCAATGAAGCTATTGCATGCATATCTGTAGAAGGAATTATCCTTAAAAAACACTAGAAGTGCACAGGATATTTATAACTAATCTTCCAGATTTGGCTTCAGTTTATTTGCATGGCTCCGCACTGCAATTAAATATACTGACTGTTAGAAAGGTTCCTCCCCAGACACCCTCCCAGTTCTGCACGGCTTCCTATCACCTGCCCAACAGCGGCAGAGCAGCCAACATTGGCTGGGCTCTTCTACCCAAGACAAGTAGTAACTGTAAAACTGCATGGCACCACAGGCTCCTCCAACTCACCCGCATGACGCTACATTTGCACTTTGAGGCTCCGTTGCTACCCAACCCTTTACTCTTTGATACACTGCAAAGAGTGACAGGCTGCTTTTTTTTTAAATTGCGTTTGCAGGTTCAGAACATTTATCTTCTATCCTCCAAGATGAATTGAAATATTTCATAATATGGCTAGCTTCACTATAAACTGCCCCCCAAAACATACCATTTAAGTTTTCTGCTGAAATAAAAGAACGTGAAGATGTTATGTGCTCTGACCTCTAGGGGAAGTACAAAATCATTCTATCCAACACAAAGAACATGCTTTCTATCAGGTGACTGCAGTTTTCTAAGGGTTTGCCTGCCCTTCCAACACCCGCTTTATACAAATAAATGATATAAGCCATTTGAAACTGAAGTTCTTAGGAAGCACATGGCATCTAAAGTGCACAGGAAATACCCTTCATTGTTTTTATTAAAAGAGAAATCTAAGGATTTGGATTATGCTGCAAAACTAAAAAATGAAAAATGCCTGAAGACATCCACCCATGTTTTATACCAGTTGAAATCCCTACATGTAGATGTTCACCATGAAATGCATCAGCTGCCAGCACTTGGAACAAGATACACACAACGTGGCAAGAACTAGTTGCCACTACATGTTCTACAGCTTACTTTTAAGTGGAATATAATGAAGAAGCAGGTAACGGCTTGTCCATCTTTGCTGATTATTGTAAGCTCTGTGAGGTTTCTAATCCTTCTAATAACTGGAGCTGTATGCCTACCCTCCTTAGAAAGGCAGGGTTTAAGAAAGTGATATCTAAGGTTTTTTTTGAAGAACATAACATTATTATTAAGAAAATGCAAAGGCCCTACATGGAATTTGAGGAAGCTGCTTTTAATCCAGAAACTAACAACTTCTGCATATTCTGACATCTTAGTGGTGGTGTAACAGCTGCATGAACAAAGAATCAAAACCAGCCTGTTCATGGGGGCAACACCAGTCCAAGAGACACTGCTGTCTTCCATGTGCATTTCTGCATAAGGGATCAGGATGTAATTTGATGCCACTAGCATGAAATTTCCACTTTTTTTGCAAACTATATTTTTGTTAAAGCTCTAACTTAACTCTGGCAGCTGAGATGTATCACCAAGTATCCTCTGCTGCTTGGATACTGTATTCACAGTATCCACAGATGGAGAAAAATCTATAAATTTGTCCATAATCAAATGACTTTCAACGCCTACCAAGCTGTACTGGAAAACCTGCTTTATAGGCTGAAGGTTAAGTGTGAAAGAACACTCCATTCCAAAAGGAT